ATCTCAGCGTTTATTTTCACTCGTCGGCTTTTTCGATTACAACAGTTTCTTATATTGTAGACTTAATATTGCAAGACAATATTTTAACAAAATTATCAAATTTGTTAGTAATATGGTTAAAAGGTAGGAAGCTAGCAAATGCACGTGTAACAGTGACGTTAGCGGATAATTATGTAGTGATTAGGAAAGATAGTGAGTTGAAAGTAGATAAAAATCAAACTAAAAGGACTACTTACCACAAACAAATAAAACTGGATCTGCGATAGCTATGATTTGTAAGGAGGAGTTTGTAATAAAGGAGAGAAACTACAAACTCTTACCAATATGTTTTATACGTGACCAACTTGGGAGTTTAGTTATTCTGTAGGTAGGATAAGAAAATTACAAAAAAGGAGAATGTAATGTGTTGTATTAAGGACAGAAGGAAAATCTAGAAGGAGTAATGATAAATGGGCAAGCCGTTAAGAGATCTTGAAAGTTGGAAAACTTTGGTAAGAAAGGAACTAGTAAAAGATAATGAACTGAAAGCAGATACAGTAGGTTTAATTGGATTTGGCACCACATCAGGAATAGATTGATTTACCTACCACTACCTAAAGTCACATTGCAAAGTTGAGTTTTTGAAGGTATAATAGTCGTAGGGATAGCCGATGGTATTCCACATCCGGTTTCGCTTGGTAATGAGGTAGAAGCTATTGGGTTGCTAAATACACCTGTAGCAGTGGTACCACATAGCGAAAGTAGCCAGATAACAAGTAATGTTAGAGAAAACTCTAAACATATATACCAGTTAGTGAAGAAATAAATTATCAAGTAAATAATACAAAAAATGACAAAGTTTGAACTGCTGTTAGAATATGGAATATGGATCGAGAACAAATAATTAAACGGTAGTTATAATATAAGAGTTTCTGCAGTGAAGCCGTGGTAGAGGAACCGGAAGTAACTAAACTTGGGCAAAATTATTATTACTGGCGGGAAGAAGTGTTGAGGTGTAAATGTAATGGGAATGATGTAATAGATGGTAGGGATCAAACAATACTCCTAAAGAAAAGTAGACAGACAGTATTGAAGTTATGACATGATACAATACTGGCTGGACATTTAAGCTAAAACGAAAAATAGGATCTATAAAAACTACTTCTGGTTGGGTATATTTGGAGATATAAAGAGTTATTTAAATAGATGTCCAGCATATCAGCTTGCTGGTAAGAGGAGCATGAAAGTGGAAAGATCGATGGTTAATTTATCAGTTATTAATGAACCGTTTTGTTTCGTTAGTGCTGATAGTATTAGAACATTTCCAGTAACTGAAAAAAGAATAAATATATTAAGATCATGGCAGTAGATGACTTTAATGAAGCAGAGAAAATAGTGCGAGAGCTGATAATGATATTCTCATGGGTCGGGGTTCCTGAAAAATTATTATGAGGTTTAAATAATAATTTTCGGTCGAAAATAGCGGAAAAATGAAAGCAAGAGGAGTAAAAATGGAATACACTAGTCCTTAAGGACTTAATACTTGTGGTGGGAAGAGCACAAATAGCCCATTGTGAAGCTTTGTGCTAAACTACAAACAAACAAACCATAAGAACTCCAAACAAAAGGAAATGTGTATGAGAGGAAGTGAAACGATTAGGGCCATGCTAATAGTAACGGCAGAAGAGAATCGTGGTGTTATCTTTTGTTATCATATATGACTAGGTAGAGGCAAATGTTAACAAAGATGCAGAAGATAGCAGCTAAAGCTACTCAGAAAAGTAAGGTTGACAACGAGAACTAAAGATGATTCAATTTGTTGCGGTGCTGGACCCAGTGCTTGAAAATAGTTTAGTAGCAAGGAAGATAAAATCCTTCGATATAATTAAACATGTGGGTAAAGGGATACTTAAAATAGATGTACGGGATAGAGAAGTAGTTGGACTAGTAGTGAGGCTAGTAGTAGTGAGAATGAGCAGAAAAGTAACTTAGATCTTTATGGGGAACCAGGGTATGCTAATACTTTGAAGGATAAACACCTAAGCTACAGGATAAACGTAACTTCTAATGTTGCGATGAGGAGCCCAAAAGGAAAATTTCACACCATTTGAGGGTAGCTCTTCAAGATGAGGTATAGAAGAGATAAAATTACGGAATATTCTAGTACTTATGCATCGGATCGGTTGTAATATTTGTACCTAAGACTGATAGGGTAGGGATAACTTAATTTCCCAAAAGGTTATCTTCAAGTCGATTTAGATGAAGAGGATAAAGAGAAAATAGTGTTTACCACAACTTGTGATCGTTAGAGTTTAGCATAATTTCCAGGGAGCAAAAAGAGTTCCAGTAACATTTCAGAGATTAACAGATAACGTCTTACGAGGCTTAGGAGAGACGGTTACAGCTTACATAGATGACATTGGCATACACATAAAAAATTGGGATGAGCATCTAAGAGTTTTAAGGGAAGTACTAGATACGTTGAGTAAAGGAGACTCAACAATAAAATTGTGTAAATGGGAACTTGGAGTAGATTGCCTATAGTATTTAGGTCACATGGTAGGTAAAGGATTGACTGCCTCTGTAAAGGCAAAGGTAAAAGTTATTATAGATTGTGAGAAACCTACGACAAATAAAGGAGTTAGATTTTTTATTGGAATATTACAAAAAAAAGTATTTCCAGGTTTCCAAAAATAGCAGACCTACCCACAACATCAACCTGAAAATCAGGACTACAACGTGTTGTATAGTATGAGGCCAATGAGAGGACTTTTAGAAAAGTAAAAGAGGCGCTGTGTAAAAAAGAAAAGAAAAGAAAATAAAAACTTACATAGCTATAAGGATACGTTATTCATCATTGTGCAAACTGATGCCTCCGATACAGCTATAAGGGTAGTGCATTAAATAGGTGAAAATGAATAGAATATCCAGTGGCGTATTTAAGCTGAGAATTACTAGCACGCGAAAGAGCTTTAGCCATCACTGAAAAACAATGCTTGGCAATTAAGACCTTTTCTCTTAGGTAAAACACTTGTCGTGAAAATGAACCATAACCCATTAATTTGTGAAGAATGAAAACAGAAAACTGCTGCTATGTAGTCTGTTATTACAGGAGTTTAATTTTACGTTCGTTACAGACCAGTAAGTGGCCATAGAAATACAGACTCCCTTTCGCACTTGAGTTGTTAAAATCAGTCTGTAACCTATCTTTGATTAAAACTAATTTACATAGATACGGGGCTTACGATCCATCGAATTAAGACTAACACTGCTATTGTGTGAAAATGTTTGGTTATGCAAATGAACGGAGGGAGTAAGAACTTTTGAAATAACTGGATGAAACTCTGAACAGTAAATATGGAATGGAAGAAACAGAGTCTTTTCTGATTAATTATGTATGTCTATATATATATGCATTTATATGTGCATATATGACTGGGAAGTTGGAAAATATCTGGACAAAAGCTATGAAGTGTAATGCGATATATTTAAAGACAGTGAAATTGTCAGTTGTGAAAAAAAAAGATGGATAAACAGTGGATAAATAGTCTAAAGAAGAGCGTGATGATATGCGTGGGGAAATATAAATATTAAAAAACACAACTGAGATTATAACAATCAAAATTGTTCGATGTATTTAGGAAATGTGGGGGAGGAGATGTGTAATAAAGTTAAGTGTAAGGAAACATTAGTTGAAGTTGAGAGAATGAGGCCACCCTTTGGCCAGTCACTCAGAATTAAGGGATTACAGTCATTAGAAAACAATTGGAGTAAGCAGGTATAACGGCTGCTTTTCTAAGTATGGAGTCTACAAGAACCCTATTGTTATGAAACTTTATAATCTGTTATACGGGAAAGAAACAAAAGATCAAAGAAAAGGAAAAAGACCGGGAAGTGCGAGAGAGAAGAGATAAACCAAGAGAGGCGAAGAAAGATGCTGCCAGTATGAAAAAACAACAAACTATTACTAAATCTGTGTGCTATTGATTATCAGTAATAAATAGCAATTTGCTATGTATACGTTGGTATGAATCAACTCCTGAAAGGAATAAGTAAAGTTATAAAGTTGATGGGCATAAAAAGGGAAAGCCCTTTAAGTTAGAGTATATCACGATCATAATAGTCAGCGGTAAGTTTATGGATGTACAATGCCAAAATCCAATGTTGGTTTTCCCGCAGTGAACAGAGTGTAGGTAGCCCATTGTATAGCTTTACAATAAGAAAACAACAACATTTACGTGACAAGCTGTTACCATTTTCGGATAGACTATTCCTTAAATATGACAGTAAGTTTGTTTCCAGTCACAGGTTTCTTTGTCTTAGTGTTTACATTAATGACAGATGAAATAAAATTACATTGTTATATTAACCGAATGTGAAACTAAGAAGACAACTCGTAAGTAACCAAAATATTTTTCTTGAGACTGAGGTCTGTATAGCCCTTTACGGATTTATGAATATCCGCTTGCTAAGTAATTGTGTATCTTCAGAAGTATGCGGTAGGTTCATTCTGGAGTGTATTTTGATAAAGTTTTCCCGCAAAATAGAAATTACAAGCAGAGAAATAATTCTTTATGAGTAGCTTATGATAAACGAATTTTACAAGGGACTTTCATTTACTATAAAAACACATATTGACTACTTATTATTTCAAGTACGATTTTAGACAAGGGAATAATTTCATCTTTTAGAAACCATTCATGAATATGAGATATTAAATAACATTACAGATTAAGGAACTAAATTATGATACACACTATTATACATTAATGCTATCATAAGTGGACAAAACCACGTACTGCAGTAAAAATACGTTTTTTATTTAATCACGAAATGCTTGATGTCAGATTCCAGTTCGTCATCATAAAAATCATGCAAGTTTTCCTATTTTTTAAGCTATATGTTTTACTCAAAGCCTGGAGACTAGAACATTTACTGTATAATCTAAATAATATCAATCAATAATTCAAGCATTATAAATCTTTAAAAAGCAACAATTTATAAACAAATTAGTTCATTACCTGGTTCGTTTGGATCACGATGGAGTCTTACTGATTGCAAAATCTCTCTTCGAGATGTCTTAGTACATGTACCTGCAACATTAGAATTCAACACAATTATATTTGCTTTCGTCAACATAAAATGCTATTATAATAAGAAATCTTGTTTACCTACTTTGCACTGAATTAGTTTGTACAAATTATAGTTTTGCAAATGAAAATGTTTGAAGAAAATACTTGTTTTATATGTGGTAAGTCCTTTCGCACAATCGGGTTTGTAAACTTAGTGCATATTTATGTCAACATGAAATCACAGGAAGAAAACTATCAGGATATTTTTTCAAATCAAATTTATTTTACAGGGCATTATACACTAAGTGTATTATGAAAACATTAAATGTTGTATATCTTTATCATATTTGGGTAATAAAAGAAATGTTAACTAGTATTATTAAAAATATTAAATGTGTAAGAGTGAAATCAAAATAAATTAATGATTTTTTCAACACCTTAACATAATCTACTGGAAGACGACTTTTAAAATATGATTTTCAAATTGGTAGAGAAAATGAAAAAAAAAGAGAAACCTTCAAGATAAATTATTAATCAAAAGAAAAATGCCCCTCTTAATTTAAAGTTTTTTATTCAAATGTTTCCCAAATTAAATGGAATTACTGCAAGAAGTTTTTTAATAAGTACAGGAAAATAATGCGAGAGTTTAAAAGTAAAAAATATTGTATTTAACTAAAAACTAAACACTCAGTTCAGAATGTATTTTTTGCCTTATATTACTTTGTATAGCTATTTTGTTTGACAAAAACAAATATTGTAAATTGTAAATCAATGTAAATATAATTTTACAAAACTACCATAATTAATGAATAAGTTCACATTTTAATAGTAATTTTATGAAAACAAGTTTTCGTTAAGTTTTAGGCCCGATATGGCAGGTGGTTAGTGCGCTCGACTCGCAATCTGTGGGTCGCGGGTTCGAATCCCCGTCACACCAAAC